GTCAAGAAAATGACAAACTCCAGACATATAAAGCACTTGAGCAAGCTGAAATACTGTATGTGTGTGGAGTATTCCTCTCTCTTAGTAAACCGCCTATACATACACAAACTGCCTTATACTGTCACGGTTCTCACCGCGACATCCCGACGGCCAGACGAGGTCGCCCCAGAAGTGCCCGCTGACGGACTTGAACCACGGTACTTTGCAGTCCTGGGGCTGCTACTTTGCCTCTGAGCCACCATATCAGCTCTAGAGATAGACAGAAGTCTATCTTGCCTTGTACCCAGCATTGGGGGCTGGACATTATTCTGTGGCTGCTCCAACGATCTCAGCACACCTGTGGCTGATCACAAATTAGCCAGGTATAAGACACTGCCTCTCCCTGAGGGCAGTGTCAGTTCATTGACTCTGGTTCCCTTGTTTGGTTCCTGTCATGCTATATCTGTGTTCCTGTATTTCCTGTCTGATTCCGGCTTCTGACCTTGGCTTTCCTCCTGGACTACTCTGATATCTGGCTTCCCCTGACTTTGGCTTTCCTTGACTACGCTTCTGCTAATCCCTGCTGTACTGCTACTTGGAGCACTATTACTGGAAAGCCCCCTTGCACAGACTCACAGATCAGGTGGCGTCTTACCTGGTCACCCTGGTCTGTGTCTACTTTGCAAGGGTGAGTGTATAACTCTGCGAGCCGGACTCCCCATCAGGTAAGATCCTGACATATACATATAAACACACATACACACAGGGACGTATTAGCCGCGAGGCAAACAAGGCATTTGCCTTGGGCGTCATTTTTCAGGGGGCGGCACTGGCTGATGGTCGGGCGGGTGACTAGCGAAGGAGCACTTTCCCCTGAGCTGACTGCTCAGCTCCCTCACGCGCCGCAGAGTGAGGCTGGGAGCCGGAATATGACGTCATATATGATGATGTGTGTGTGTGTGTCTGACTGTGTGTGTGTGTTTGTGTCTGACTGTGTGTGTGTGTCTGACTGTGTGTGTGTGTTTGTGTCTGACTGTGTGTGTGTGTGTGTGTCTGACTGTGTGTGTGTTTGTGTCTGACTGTGTGTGTGTGTATTTAGAAGGTGGAGCGGGGTGGAAGGGTTGGGTGTGGGTGGGGTGGGGCAGGGGGTATCTAGGGTGAGGGGAGGGGGTGCCTAGGGCAGCACAAAACCAGGATACACCACTGCATACACACACAAAAAGTGCCTTATACATACTTGCACACAAACTGCTGAATACCTACATACACCAACACATACAAACTACCTCATATTCACACATCACTTCCTAATACATACACTTACATATGGCAAATACATACACACACACACACACACACAAGCTGCTTTACCGATACATACAGAGGTACGACATTTTTTTCCAAGGGACTAAGGTAGACCACACACAAACACACTGCCCAATACAAAAACTATGCACAGTGATACACACTGACCGATAAACAAACACACTGCACACTGAGCCATACACAATCACACTGACTAACACACACACAAAGTACACATTGTCTGACACTCACACATAGCACAGATTACCAGCAGCAGCCTGTCCCATGCTCAATCTGGCATTTACAGCATGTTGGCCGGCGGGTATGACGTCACGCTAAATCCCATGGTGGCCATGTGTCCTGAGCATTGTAAGGAGCAGTTGGATGCTGCCACTCCTCACACCGCCCTGTGAACTGCAGCCAGGTCCGTCTACAGCATCCTGGTATGACTGCTGGAGATAAACTCCCTGCCCGGATATACAGCAACTCCCCCAAGGCAGCCCTAAATGAATTAAAAAAACTAAAAAATAAAAATCTTCCTGTCCTTCTTGACACTCACAAATTGACACTCACATACATCGAAATATATGAAGATTACATACCTATAATACATACATACATATACCAACAGACACACACACTGCCTAATACACACACAAAATATTTAACAAACACACAAACACCAAGCTTCCCTCTTCCATTCCTCACATACTCACATGGAATCAGCCCAGTCACTGTCTGATACCTCCTGTGCTAGCATGCATCCAGACTCTGTGTGCTCCCTCCCACAGGCTAAACAGGATCAGGACAGGACTGGGGGGAGCAGCATGGGGAAGCTCTGCCCTCCTCTTCAAAGGGCATGATGACTGTAGGTAGTGTCTTGGTAAGAGGGGGCAGAGGCAGGCTGGGGTTAAAATGTTTCAGATGGGGAGAGGTGGTGTTAGATACAGTAGGGGCGGGGGTAAGTTTTTGTGGGAGTTAAATTTGTTAGAGAGATGCTGTGTTTAAAGCCAGTTACACAGGCTAGCTACCAGGAGAAGTGAGGGGCGGGCGCTACCGGCAGCTCTGTCACAGGGGGAGGCGGCACTTGCTCTGCATATTTTCATGGGGGTTCAGATGAGTGCCCCCTCCAGGAGAGCGCTCTAGGCCAGTGCCTAATTGGCCTTATGGAGGTGTCGGCCCTGGAGCCCCCCCTTCTCACTTTGTAAGTAATCAAACTGTTTTAGAATGGTTTGACTTTTTGGCTGAGGCCTGCTGGGGGCCGTTTTCCTACTACACTACCAAAGCCAGAGAGCCGAATGTTCAGGGCCGGACTAGGGACACAAAGCAGCCCTGAAAAAAAATATAAAGAAAAATCTATGCCAACCCCATAAGTCATTGCGCCATATATTGTTACATGTAATATGTAAGGCTATGTACTATACAGGGAGTGCAGAATTATTAGGCAAATGAGTATTTTGACCACATCATCCTCTTTATGCATGTTGTCTTACTCCAAGCTGTATAGGCTCGAAAGCCTACTACCAATTAAGCATATTAGGTGATGTGCATCTCTGTAATGAGAAGGGTGTGGTCTAATGACATCAACACCCTATATCAGGTG